AGCTCATACCATTTGCGGCGGATGTCCCTTCACGGATCAACGAAAAATCGAATGAGACGTAAATTCCTCTTGTCCTCGGGCACCTGTAACGAAGTGTTCAATCAAATGAATTTTCCAACCTATCGGTCTTCTGAACTGCTAAAAATCTGGAGCACGCATTATAGCTTTGGGTGGATCACTTTGAACTCTTCAGAAAGATTCTCAATATTTCCATTGCCTTAAACACGCCCACACTTCCGACCAGAGGGACATACAATGGACGGAAAGTTTCGTCGCTATTCTTCGTCGTAAATATTCTCCACTACTTCTAAGGAAAACATGCCAACAAAGTACAGAGATATATCTGCATAGAGATGGATGTGATTGGAGCGTAAGAAATTAATAGGATGCAAAGGAAAGAAAAGGGAGAGGCCCTTGCTAGAATGGAACAGCTAGTATGTATGTTTAATTATCCATGTGGATTAGCCCTCTTCTCCCTCAAATGAAAGGTCCCAACGTCTGCAAACTGCACTGCAAAGGAAAAGACTATTCTAGAACTTGTACTCTATAATGTGTAGATCAACACAATCGTCACAACTACTTAATGCAAAAAAAAAACATTGAAGAGAAAGCGATTCCATACACACAAATAGAGGAGAGAAATATGCTCAAAAGCAGATTCGAATAAGAGACATAACAATACCTTCAAACTTTTCTTTTTCTGGATCTCCGCTGCACTTTCACGTTGTATTGCAATAGATCCTTTTATTTCTCGGCCATCTGAATGACGAAATACTCTTGATTGAGAGAATAGGATGCTATACTCAAGCACAAATTATTCTAATGCGAAAAATACAAAGAAGAATACCTACCGATTTCGAGACCATTTTCCGTAGCCTCTATGCACGCTCTTGCTTCTTCTGGTTTCGAGAAGTGCACAAATGCTGTGCCTTGAAAACAATTAAACAATTATTAAACAAATCATTATTATTTTTAAATAATTTGAAAAGCGAAAGAAAACAGGCTGGTAAAAAAATTATGAAAGAATAATTCCATTCTAGACTTCAACGCACTTCATACAAGCTAGAAGCGGGGTGTTCAAAAAAAGTGGCAAAACAGCTAATACTACCGATCGCGCACGCATGCCCTCCCAACCCCCCCCCCCCCGAAAAAAAAAGTTGAGGTGAAGGTTTGAAAGGAACGAAGAGGGAAGTTAGGGAAGAGGCGAACATTTGTGGTCTAAAATACGAGTGGCGATCGCACTTCGCACATGTGACGCCCTCTAACACTACCGGTCACGTCATCAGTCCGCAAACTTGAAACGTTTTACAAACTAGCCGTTTCATGATATGGCTACTACTGCCCTATTTCATCATTTCCGCTCACTTAGTACGACAATTTTTCCAGAGAATCCGATCAAGTTCGGCAATGGGTACCACGCGGATTGTGAGTGCAACTCATATTCTCTCTGAACAGAGACTTTGTGAGCGTGAACGCTTCGAGCTTCGCGGGCCGAGACCACAAATAAAGTTGACCACGGATTCGAAGCGGGAAAATGTGAATTTAAGAGCTTCCTTGAGCACTTCAATTTCCCCAGTTTTGCCTGGATACACTCCTCGATGAGTTCTACAATAAGCAGCAGGAGCGATCGCAAAAGTGAGCACACAGCTCTTTCTCTGATAAAGCGTTTTCATGCTGCTACCGTCCAGTATAAAGGCTAATATTCCGAACTAATTAGTTATAAATGCTCCACCATTTGTGTGCATTGCATAAGTCGAGGATTTCCTCATTTGTATTACATGCACACCATAGCTGAATAGCGTTAGAGACATGAGAAATTCTGAAGAAAATTTAGGATGGCATAAGCAATTGACGCGGCCCATTTTCTTCCAAAAAACAGAGCAAATTAAATCCACGCGTTAACCAAAACAAAATCAAACGATACCACTGGGTTTTCCGACACGCCGAAACGATGGTTGCTGTGCCAATTTACTAAATTTCCAACCACGTCAAAAAACTGAAAAATCGAGAGGTGACAATTAATTAAGCAATAGAAGCGCACGTCAGTCTTTGAGCTCAACCCTCTTTACCCTGCTACCACTAATCAACAATAGTATTAAAGAAGAAATACTCAACCCTTCGGATGTCCACTGTCTCGAAATTTACAGCAGATGGCCAGCTCTACCTCTCCAAACTTCTCCATCTCGGTTTTCAGCGTTTCATTCGAAGTATCAAAAGAAAGATTCCTAAAAAAATATAGTAAGGGTAATCATGACATGCAACGTGACATCAGGTTAGCCAATGCCGACGACTCCTCCATAAGGTGTGTATTTGCCTCCATCGGATTTGCAGGCCGCATTGGATAGAAATATCAGGAAATGTTCGGGAAAGAGAGCGACTCAACTAAGTTGTAGCGATCTCAGAAAGATTCATTAGATTCACTGCTCAGGAATTTATGAAATTTTGCGAAAGTAATTAACAGGAACAAAGGGAAACTCTCTGCTCTGACTCTACGACGTGATACCCCTACCCTGCGAGGCTAGCTAATGAGAGTTCAGATATGGTTCCACATAAGATAAGAAAAGAATTTAAAAAGGAGGCGAGCTGTGCCATTGTTTGATAGAGGGTGATTAAGCCCTATTAGAAGTCACATTAGCCAAATGTTGTTGACACGTGGATCATCAAACGGCAATATCACCTCAAGAAGACAACACGTTGTTCGTCTACGGCAGAATCTTTCCTTCTTGGCTTGTCTTCCTCGTCAACTTCACTGTGATCTTCTTCAACTAGGCCCATTTCCGTATGTTCTGCAGCCACATTAGACTCCTGATCACTGCTACCGTCACTTGATCCTCCATCGCTGAAAGATTTTCCTGTGCAATTGCTTGTGCCGCAATGGTGCTCAGAAAAACAGCTGCTACCTCAACACATCTTCTTCCTCCTCATTGTTGTTCAGCTGTCTACTAGCCGACGGCTGCTCATCTTTTCTCGAGGCTCTGTAACAAACAACATGTTAGGGGAGGCATGCTAATTTCGCATCAGATGGAACCTGTTACGTTAAGTGTGGTGACCTTGATATTTTTGCTTTGTCCCCTTTCGGCACATTTTCTTCCTCGAGCTTGACTTTTTTGTTTAGTTGCTCTCGTTCTGAATAATGGTGAAGAAATCAAATACGACATCTGATATTACTTCCAAAACGAGAGAGAAAGATCAATGCACAATGGATTCTACCTTCTCGAGCAGCTGTTTCGTACGTATCCTTTGGTAGAGCCCAATCTGCGGCAACCATTCGACCCTGGCATAAGACACCAATAACGCACACAATGGAATAAAAGGCGATTGATGCTTTGGTTGCTACAGGTTTGTAATCGCATACTCTGCAGAATCCGCGAGAAAAGTTTTACCAATCGAGGCCACCATGCTCCGACTCTTCCCATCGAAACGTATCTATTTTTCTAACTAACATCGCAACCCTCTTGTTTCACAATTGACACATACCAAATCACTCGTGAGAAATATGCAATCGATGCCTAAGAAATATACCTCAACACTAGGCGCGTCCTTATAGCCCGGAAGCCTGCTTACAAATTAAAAAGCAAAAAATCTCACTCCTCTACGCACAGGGTAATGCATCCAGACTATTATAATCATTCGAAAAAAGGCTTGCTATTGATGGTAACTATTTTTGCGCGATTACGTTGGTTTTGATAAATGTCGTCATCATAGTTCCCATTTCTGAAAAGCTTGCAGTATGTCTGAATTCCCAGTACCACTGCAATCATTTTTGAAAGAGGCTAAATGAAAATGTCGGTGAGATCCATTACAGCTGTACGAGGAAAGAAACATACAATAAATAGAATGAAAAGAGTAGCTGTAACTGCGAGAAGGAGCTCACTTTAAATTTGTTACTATTGAAGAATTCTCGTGCCTTCTCTGCGGACTCACGAGTTTTGAACTGTATAAACGCAAATCCAGCAGCTCGCCCAGGTATCTTCTTCGATGCTGGTACAACAATATCAGTGAACGATCCAAACGCCGAGCAGGCACTCTGCATGTCTTCACGCGTTGTCTGAAGAAGTAAGTTGTAGAGAAATAGTGAACAGAACCAGAACAAAAAACATAAAAAATATGTGTAAAATATGTCGTTGTATGTCAACTATGTGTGAAGTTTGAAGACAGAAAGAATCGCGAAGTATCACTTCACACTTTTCCAAACAGAATAAAAAGTTCACTTCGCGCATCAAAGAATTTCAACCGGTGCTGCCAGCGCTGATGTTTAGGCACCCTTTTTGACAGAAGGAAAAACCAACCTTAAACGGTAGATTCCTTATAATCAATCTCCATGATTTTAGCTTAGCATCTTTATGGTACTCTTTCCTTTTGAGAGTTTTGTGCCCCTGCGATGCTTTCTCCTTCTCTTGTCCTGAATTCCACAGTTTAGAGGAAGTGAAAACTCAAAAATAATGAGCTAAATGCAAGAAAAGTCGAGCAACTTGTATTAGTACTAGATATATCCATCCCCTCATCCTCGTCGTCATCCTTGAAAACAATTCTCTTGCCCCGTGCTAGCTTAGGCTGCGAATATCCGTACTTCTCCATAGGTTGACCTGCAGTATACATCAACATTACCAATCCACACGGTCAAATGCACAAAAAGAAAGAAAATTTTAACGATATTCCAAATTGGACATGACAAATTTTCCGGTAGGAAACAGAAGACGTCGAAGAAAATTTATTAGTTAAATTAAGATTAGAATTGCAAAAATTTGTACGATTTTCGTAAAAGCGTCTGGAATCTTCACACAATTTGCTAAACATATTCCAGTGAAAGAGAAAATTCACGATTGAATCAATCAAGTAACAGAAGAGCAGATTTATACTAGGATGACATGTTCGACGCGAAACCATTTCCTGGAGACAGTAGCGTTGGCAAAGTTTGATTTCCAGATGTGTCCATTGACGACGAAAAAGCATCAATTGGCGAAGAAAGACGCTTACCTGAAATTTTCAAATAGTAGTAACAACGAAGCGAGGCCATCAACGTATCACCACAGTGTTTATACAAACCTTTACCCTGATTAGCCAAAGCTCTCAACCCAGCACATGCCAAAAATGCCTTCACAGAAACGTTCCTCTGACTATTCCCTTAGAGAAATTGCTCGCCTTGGTTACAAAACACGGTGCATAACTCAATGTGTGGAGCCTAAACCCAGCCCATGGAATGACTGGTCGATGGTTAGACCTGAACGTAGAAATGCTGCACCCAAACCCGTTGCAGAAAGACATTTGCTTTTTAATGAGTTTCGCCCGGAGACAAAGCTTCCTTTCTTGCACTCTCACTAGTGTCGATCTAACGTCCGAAGTATACATGTCTTTCCGAGAAATCTCCTCAGCAACTTTAGGAGCGTGTTTTGCGCTTCCGGTAACGTATACAGGCAGCTTTGGAACACTCAAAAATGCCCGATAAATGACGAAAAACGAGTCGCCCCTCTGAGTGAAATTGTAGCCCACCAGGCGGGCCACACTCGGTCGTCAAAGGGTTAATGAGTTTCGCCCGGAGACAAAGCTTCCTTTCTTGCACTCTCACTAGTGTCGATCTAACGTCCGAAGTATACATGTCTTTCCGAGAAATCTCCTCAGCAACTTTAGGAGCGTGTTTTGCTGGCGAACCGCAAAGGATCACTTCTAGTAGTCTCCTGGCAGATTCCTAGCTTCAACTGCTGCAAAGTGCGCAAGATCTACGGTATCTCAAGTGCGGATGAAATGGCGGAGGACCGCTGACGAAATGTGTCCATAAGATGCTCTGACGATCGAAATTCAAGGACTTTTCGCTTTTCCTCAATGGTCCTGCCGCGATGGCTAGAGCACAGACGATTAGAGAACGGGTGAATGCCCTAGGACTAAGCCTTGGAGAGGAGAGGGACCCGCGAGAGAGCGCAGAGGCGGTTTAAAGGGCTGAGTTCAAGTCGTCTGGGGACCCTATTCACACCAAATGAGTTGAAGAAGCTCGATGCGTAGAATATTGAGATTTGCACGTCCCATGTCTTCACCGATCGCTTATAAATAAAGCGTAAATCTGTCGTTTAGCCAAGAAATGACTTCGAGGCAAGCAAGAAAAACTTCAATTTTCCATTCCAAATCCGGCAGTGGGGTTGGATCGCACCTCTACTTGTGAAAAGTCGCATCATACTTTAGCTATCTGCAAGCTAGGAGAATCACTTTCGAAAGCCCTTTAGTAAAACATCCATTGAGAAGGATCTGCACGGAGCATAATTATCACAAGTAAAACAAGACCTTCCTAAACGATATGGATTGCGAAAAAATGAGACCTGCGTAAAAGTATTTTTCATGCTGGAGTTCCACATCGAGCCACATTGCCCCATGCAACAAGAAGATCAAGCACACGTTAAGCCGAATCTCCCCATTAAGAAGGGTTAAGAAGGTGATGTTTGCAATAGAAACTGCCAATTAGGTTGCAACAAGCATGGACCGAAGACAAGAAAAAAGTGGAAAGATACCATAGAAGAAGAGGAGGTAATGTTCACCTATGTAGGAGAATCTATGGGTTCAAAGGTGAAGGTTACGACTAGAATGTAGTCCATTAGACTCAAAGTAGTAGTGTTACTTGTGCCAGGATGAAGAAGAACCATGAGAAACGACCCAGAACCGGAAAGTGAGGACCCTTCTTTGCCCGCTGATTTCCGCATTGATGCGACTCTCATCGGTGCTGTCCCTTGACGCTAACGCTCTTTTCGATAAATGGCAACAGACCTGCGGCGAGAACCATGGTAGATCGCGGAGTGTCCCCACTGCAAATTGCGTTTCGGTTCGCAAGACTTTCCACTAGGTAAGTTTCACATTTTTGGACCTTCGACCTCGTCGTGAAATTCTCCTTAGAAGGGAGTGTGTCCTGTGATTTCGAAACAGTTTGAAGACTACAAAAAATGGAGAGGGGAACGACAGAGGTGGGCGAAATCCACAAAGCGGCTTGGTTGCACTACGGCGGAAAAAGTTTTAACTAGGAACTACCACCGCACTTTATATCGCTCGGTCCGCTGTGGTGCACGCGATAGCAGAACCGATTGTTATCCACCACAAAGCTAATAAGCCTTATAACTGATTCGTTGATTAGTTCGTTGAGAACATCCTTTCTGTAAATAGGAAGCAGGTCAAAAATGCGGAGGTAGCACCATATCCCCATCTCGAAAGGAAAGGGCAGAAATTGTGGAGACTTATGACTTACATCAATGCATACTCAACGCAACGGTGCATGCGAACGCGCTGGTGTCTGCGCTCACTACTATCTGTTCTCACCAGGGTAAATGTTGGTCGAGGGAGATCTTCGACAAGGGGGGGGGTCTCGTCAGGATGGGCCATGAACGTCGTACTCGTGGAAGGTCAATAACGAGGTGCAGATAGGATGGAGAGGGTGTAGCCTGGCAGAAAACTATGATATGTAAGACAAACGTGACATAAATATTCTTTGCAGATACCTTTATGAAAGGACGTATTCGAAAGCAGTACAAAGAATGAAACTGCATCTTCGCAAGAAAGGGGCCACACGCGCTGCAAAGGCATTCCCTGTACGCAAAAACGGCAGCAAGGAAGGAAAGGCCCTGGCATATAGGAGTTATGAAATGTGTCTACTACAATGCAGTTTCTGTCAACAGGTCATCATCATATAACACCTTTCAATCGATTCTGCAACTTCGAGTGGAGGTCGGATGCATGGCCTATACCAAGACAAATCGGATGATGACGATTGCCCCTTTTTTATTGCTTATGTTGGAAGAATGTATTCTAGACACATTTCGAGCGTTGCCAACGAATTACACTTGCAATGGTGAAGAAGGGAGCGGCTTTTTGAGTGGCCGAGAATCGTCCTCGATAGATCCTCGACGCAAATATCTCCTCAACTAAAAAGCTGAAAAAAGCTAAACAGACCATCAGAAAGCGCGAACCTTCCGCTTTCCAAAACTATCTTCCCTTTTCAAGGATCTTACAAAATAGAGAGATATTGCCTTTGAAGTGGCAAAAACTCGTATGAAAATTTCGGCGTCCTCGATGCTCTCGACGCAGTTCGAGGGACCCTATCTTTCCTAGTAGAAGGCTTTTAGGGCAATTTCAAAACTGTTTGGCAAGTAGAAACCTAGCTCTATCTCACTCTACCTCATCGCTGCTCAAAAGTTATGAAATGGGGAATGGAACCTTTTCATCGAGAGTGTAGATTTCGATGGTTTCGAGCGGGGTTTCGGCAAATCTGACCCACGGATAAACCGCGCTGCAACTGAATGCTTTGCTGTACATTAATGGAACTCGCTTATTCACATCAAATCAAAGTTAGAGGGGTCGTATCAAGACCCCGGACACCTCAGGGGTCACTCTGCTGCGACCACGACTCCGACATGATTTTCACTGTGGTTCTCACGCATAAGGTCTCTTCAGTCTCCCCAGCAGCCGGCAACTCCAGCCATATTACTCGCCGAGAGCTTTCATTTTCAGACGCAATAACAAGACGCGGTTCAGTTTTTCGGAGGCCTGTCCAACTGCCGATCATTCGATGTCAGGATCGGCAGCTGGATAGGCCTTCGAAAAAAAGGTAAGGAGAGAATGAAGTGAAACTTCTCAATGAACAAACTACACTGCTTACCTTCATTAGCGGGTGTGCCGAAGCTTGCACTGCTCGGATCTGACTCAACAGACGTTTTCGTAGCACCCTAGAAGATATGAGCTAGATGTAACACATAAGTGAAGCTCAAGGAGGAATTTTCAACCAGCAATGATGTTTCTGGAGTGAATACGTATCACCACTGCAGCACGAAAAAAAATCGTATTACCGGTTACGGGGCAGTGGTCAACCAGCGCGTCAGATCCAGACAGAAAAGCACAAATTTTGTGTTACTAGGACTAAGCCTTTTGAAGGAAGGAAAGAAAGCAGAGATGCTGTAATAGTGTGCATATGCGAGAGTGCCCAGAGAACACTACAAAATGCTGAATCACCAAGTCTTCCGGTTGACCGCTGCCCTTGTACGGACATTTTCAAAGAGAATCGGAAGAAATAATACTCGTCACGCTTTGCCTCATAGTTATGATGGAACATATCAATTCCCTTCTGGTGGTCAGACCAAATCGATGCCTTTCCCTTGTAAAGCAGATTGCGATTTCGGTAATTGAGTTTGAAAGGTTCGGAGCACATAGCATTTCGCACTACATACGTGATGTTCGTGCTGAGGAGTCATATTACCACGCAGACAAATTAATAGACAATCGTGATTTTGACGTAATTAAAGGAATCAAAAACGTGAAGCCACAAACCTTTTTCTGGTACGCTTCCAGCAGAACCCTCTCCATGTGATCGATGTCGTCAGCTTTTATTTCAATGGAAGTGAGTGGTCGCCGCAGCATATTGAAGAGTGGTTATGGGCGCCACGATTCCTTTACGTTAGCCTTATCTGAGATAACTTCCAAAAGGTGAATGAAGGTCGAGCCATTCATAAACACCAATCACGGGCGAGACCGTCAACCTTGAAATATATTTCCTACAGCAGGCACACCTATTCCTTTTGCAACGAATCACTTCGCAGGGTGTGGTTTACTAGGACAGGAAGCGACTTTTTCGCGTTTCGCACCGCGAAACGTATTTCGCTGCAGAACTCACTCATGATCAGCGGTGGACCTGAGGTTCCCGCAACGAAAAATGATTTCGCGTGCGAAACGCGAAAAAGTCGCTTTCTGTCCTAATGAACCACTCCCCACTTCGCAATTCCTGAATTCCTAGAGAGAGTAGACATAAGCTCAAAAGAGAAAATACTACAAGAAAAGAATTTGGGGTCTATTCTAGTTAGGGGGCGTCATGATGCAGTTTTTCCAGAAAGCTAGGGTAACTCCAAGCCAGGGGGAGTGTAGCCAGTCTAAAGGTAGCGGGTGAAAGCAGGGTGTGGTGAGTTGACAGAAGCCCGACTTTTCGTGTTTTCGCAGCGCGAAACATTCCCTCTGTGGGACTCGGGTCCCTGATGATCAGAGGTTTTCCCGGAGCGAAAATTTCCAGCCTGCAAACGCGAAAAATTCGGCTTCTGTCCATAAATCAACCCTCCACTGATGAAGCAGTCATTACTGTCGCCTAAACCTACACCCTGAAAAAATGCAGGACGAGTTTTTTGGCAAGCTGCCCACTGTTTGAATTCAGTTCGTTGCGGGACCCACGCCATTTGCCACTACCGTAATTGGTTTTGGCGCATCGTTCCTATTAGGACTGTCCATTTGAATGGTTGACATTGGTTTTTGGAATGAATGCAATGTTGTTGCATTCATTCACGGCCACGATTTTGCCGGACTCCATCAAGCACTACAGATGAGTTGGAGTAACTTCAAAATATTGGGCGGAGAATAGAATTGGATTGCTTTGCGAACCCAACAAGTATAGTGGCCCGCTCGAGATTCAGGGTTTCCAACCTCGGCGAACGTACAGCTTGATAGATCGCATACAAGTGTATGATAGTAAACACCTTAAAGAAACGACAAATGAATAGCATTAGGGTTCAAATTCTCCACTGGAGGCCACAAGTAGTGTTTGAGCTTGAAAAAAGTATACCGGCCCAAAATTCTACAAGATTTGCATAATCTAACCCATACAGGTTACCCAACCTCCAAATCACACATATTTCGTAATAACT